TTTTCTGGTGGCTGCATTCTAACTCCAATAATTCATCAGCCCCAAGACCTCAAGATTTATTTACTTTAGCAATTAATTTGATTTAGACTTATTTTCAGAGCTACAAATTTTCATTTCTGACATCACATACTCATGTATAAAAAGGGCCTTAGATAAGTTATTACACCTCACAAAGACCTCAAACTTTTTCATATGTAAAACAAGAACAACATTTACCAGCTTCAGGAAAGTACAGTAAGGTAAGCACAGTAAGGTAAGCTCCTATGGGTCTTTGGGAAAGAAAGAACATATTTAAGTATTTATATAATCAAGTCAGCCAATAAAATTCTTACAGTTTCCCCAGAGTTCCAAATTTTTTTTCTGTTTTAATTAACAGCGGCAAGTAAAATGAGATATTTATTTTCTTACTATATCCTACTCAGAAGGTTCCAACTGTGAAACCTTTAAGCATAAGCACTATTGACTCCTCTCTCAATGTAGATTTATGCCTTTCATCATTCCTTCCTCATCACTTCAATCTTGACTCCCCCAGTGCTTGCTCCTCCAGAAGCAGAGGAGTATGATCATAACAAGGGCCTCAACAGGAGCACCTTCCCCATTTCTGCTGATGATTCTGGCAAAGCAAAAGCATGTAGGAAGCACGGGAACAGCCAGCCCTTTTTGCCCCTGTGGTCTTTCTGTAAGGAACACACAGGAATAAAGCTTAGGAAAAGAGAAAAATATCCTGGCCAGAAGAAGAAAAGGATGGAAAATAGGGAAATGTGTCACTAAATGAACTGGCTGCCGATCAACAAAGAACAACGCAGTGTAATTTTTCTCCCAATTACAAGTTTACAAATGATACTACCCAGAGCAGGGAGAACAGGCTTGAGAGGAAAGAGGAGTGGCAAGGAAATAAAGACCAAATTGCTTTCAAGAAGTCATATATTAGCTCAAATTACAAGAAAGTTTTTCCTACAAACACATTTTCTGGTCACCATTTCATATAACTAAACCAAAGTCTTAATAGTTTCATGTTCAACTCCTATTCAGACTTGTAACATTTTAGGAGAGGGCACAATTTTCTTAAACTCGGCTAAACACAGGCAATAAAAGAGGGCAGGAAAGTAAAAGATTTCTTTTACTAGCAGGGAAATCAAAGCAATGTTGAAAAATATTATGCCAGTGCAATTTATGAATTACAGTAGAATACTATTAAGCAATATATTTAATAGTACAATTAAAAAAAGCTATTCTTTCTGCAACGTTGCCAGGTAAGCACTGTCTCAAAGCCTAGCTACAAGCAAGCTGTAAAATCTTCACTTGTAGATTAATTGCTTCTTGAATGTATTATGTCAATCAAAACTGATAAATAATTTTCTTATAGTAGCTTGCCTACACTTTAAAAACTTCCTATATACCTTTCTGACATACAAAAATGAGTGAAATGAAGAGACAGCAAGAGACCAAGAAATGGTTTAGCACTAAAATGGGTATTTCTGCCTCATTTGTTTCCCCAGAAATAACAAAACTACTAAGACCTCCCTTTCTGGCACCGATTGACAGAAGACAGTCCCATCTCTTTTAAGATATGAATTAAAAAAAAACACAACAAATTGGATGTTATTAAACTCACTTCTTTAAACCTTCCCTTTCAGTGCTAAGTCAGATGCCTTAGAAAATGAATATTCTGAAGATCCTGATTCATGTCCACCACAAACCACTTTCCCCTCAACTGCTCAATTTTCATTTCTCCCTGTTAAACTGTTTAACCATGTAAAGGCAGAAATCTATTTCTATTGCAGTAACAGTGGAAAAAAATATAATTAGTTTTTAAAATGTCTCCTCCTCCACCAACAGGATCTGTAGATCACAGGGTTAACTTGCATATTTAAACTGGGCCTCTGTGCCTCTACAAATTACTTCCAAAATAAAATATATTTTTTAAACAAAGTGGCTTAAATAAGCCTACCAAATACTTCTTCAGACCTAAACATGTGCTTTTTGAATCCTAGACCAGTTATTCTACCTGTGGTGGAAGACCACCAGTAGGCTGTCAGGCACAAGATGGACTACCCGAATGCCTCTGAGTTCCTGCTACCTGTCACAAAACTGAACTGACTGTTTCAGATGTCTGTAATGATAGCTGCGAAATGATTTGGTAATGGAGTAACTAGGTTTTTCTTCGGCTAAGAACCAACCTACTTAATACAATCCCTGGTAAACAGTAAACAATGATTTAAGACAGTCTTCTGGGTTTTTTCTGGCTTCTTGTGAAAAATGTTCTGCTGGAACAGGAGGCTTCAGTAGTTTAGAAACACTGTTAGATTAGATTCAATTAGAGAAAATGCACCAGAAGCACTGCTACTCAAGTGAGTCAAAACAACTGAATAGTCTAGCTAAGATGGTGCACCATGTAACAGTTTGGGGTGACTCCTGAGGAATTCTGTCTTCTGTCCTACAATTAGAAAGCTCAAGAGCTGGATATGAAACCAGAATATACACCACCCAAAGAAAACAGAATTTACCTATCCAAACCTGAGATTGTTTAATAGCACCTATCTGTGCTATTTACCTTTTCCTAGAAAATACTACTCACAGAAAAAACTTGCCAAGTCAACTCTGACAGAAATAGCATATCAACATTACTTCTACCATTATGTAATGGACACATCATCTTACGCTCTGTCAATAGATTATTTTAGAACTGACTGCAGCAAAACATCCAGCACTACATTCTTTGACTCACTAGATGTTTATGTTTTATCGTAAGCTACCTACTATGAACACAATACATTCACCTATTCCTTCGCTATAACTGACAGCTCTCCAGTCCTGTACAAATACAAAAGAAATGTTACTTCAAACTGTGAAAAAGAACTGCTCTCTGCAAATTAAGTAAAGGTTGAAACAAGGTCTATCTCATTACAAGTGAATGCTTTCAGTGACAACATCCACAGTGTAGTGACAGTAAAAAGAATGACAGCTAAAAGGGTTTTTTTTTTTAATGTTTATCAGCTATTTAGTTTTAAGCTTGGTTTTCAAACTATGAGGCATCCAGGATCAGCTGTTATCAGACCCACCACACTGATACAGCTATAGTGAAGACTCTCCTGGTGTAGTTACTGCTTATATGAGCAAACACCTTTACTGGTAGAGATAATATCCAGCATACCTTTTTTCCCCCAGCATCTGCATTTGCATACTGCAATTGATCAGACACAAACACTGTTTAAGAAATCGCAAAGTAATCGTCAACATTATTGCACCACCAAAATATGCTAGGACAAGTTTAGTTACAACAGAATGGAGGAAAAAACAAAGTAAATCATAGGTTCATTAAAGGTCACTAACACAGGCATCATGATTAAATAACATTTTCTTCACGTTTATACATATTAGTGTATCAGGCAAGTCTTTGAGAACAAAATTTGCATGGAAGACCCAACTAATGAAAGCATGAGCACAACTGCTGTGTGGAAGATGATCACTGTTCATCTATACATTCACAGTAATTAGCAGTACTGCAACTACGGCAACAATTTTTAATCATAACTTTTTTCAAGTCTTTATTTCACTAATACCTTGTTCTCAAAATACAAGTTTTCTTTTCTCACAGTCTTAATGTAATCCCAGACTGCATGAAGGCATTCAGCAAACACATTGGTTTAGTGTCCAACTGAAAACAAACCTTTATACATTTCAAAGTATTTTTCCAAATACATGCCTAACAGACATTGAAGTGCACATGCAAAGACAGACTGAGCACAGCACATCAGCTTCTGCTGCAACTTTATTTTTTAATGGAAAGACTGCAAGCCCCTGCTTAAAACCAAAAGGAAACCCATTTTCGACTCTGTGAGATCTAATGTGAAATGTGATAAACAGCTGGCCTTGCTATTAACGGGTTAAGAACGAAAAAGTTTACACCACTTCTATTTCTCCAGCTGTAAAACCAAGATATTGCCAGAGTCTTCCTGAAGCCAGGGTACTGGATAATTTAGGCTAAAATAAATGTTTATTAAAAAAGGGCGTTGATTTCTTGGCAGCGGTGAAAAGCAGGAGACACCCCTAGTGTCGACGTAAAATACTACAGGACTCCATACTGTATCTCTGGGTTAATTTTACGGCAGCAAAAGGGAAATTTAAATCGTCATGATTTAAAAAACAGAGCGACTCAAATACACACACCTGAACGTACCGCATACCTTCTTCCTGCGGTCTCAAAACCCACATGCCTATCATATTTGAAGTGTCAGCTTTCTAAACGCGCCCCAATTAAAGTATACATTATCTAGCCTGTCTCCCTGCCATGGGCTACGTGCATTATAGCTTTCCGGTCTGCACACGAACAGAGAAACGCTGCTGCACCAAGGGCGGGGGGGTGGGAGGGAACCCCATTGAGACTGTAAAACAACCCCCACAGCACATCGCTACCAAAATGCCGGGCTCGCCGATACATCTGGAAAACAAATGAAGCGCAGGCCGGGGAGGGCGATCCCCGGACTGAGGGGAAGGGGGGGCCGGACTGAGGGGAAGGGGGGGGGGGTGGAGAAGCGGGTTTGGGGGCGGGAGTGAGGTGAGGGGGTGCCGGAGGACGAGGCGGGGGGAATGGAAGGACCGAGCGCCATGAGCGCTGCCGGGGCGGGGGGAGGCGGCAGGAGGCGGCGGGGCACACGGAGGCGAGGCGGCGGCGGTAGGCGGCAGAAGGGAAGCGGGCGGCCGTGCCTACCCCCCGGAGAGGCGCGGGACGGCCACAGCGGCGGCCAGCGGGGAGAGCGGGAAGGGGAAGCCCAGCGAGGCTCTCGCCCTAGGGAGGACGTGGATGGCTCGGGGGCGGGAGGCGGAGGAGACAGGTCAGAAGCAGGGCAGCAGCTGCGAAGCGGAGCGGCGACCGGGCCAGGCCGCGGGGCCATTGCCTCGCCCCTCACCCCCGAGGCACGGCACAGCCGGGTCTGGAATATTCCGGCGGGGCGGGAGCGGGGGGTCTGCGGGGAGGAGAAACGAGGGAGGGTCCTCACCATGGCGGCGGGCGGGTGTCAGGCGTCTCCCCCACAGATGAATCCACCGAGCCCCGGTCTCGCTGTTGCGTGTTTGGCGCCGCCGCGCCCCGGGCCCGACGCTGCCGCCGGCTCTGGCTCAGCCCGGCTCGGCTCGGCTCGGCTCGGCTGAGCTCCCCTCACTGCGGCAGAGGCTGGCACTGACCCGCAACGGCGCACAGGGAGCGAGGGAGGGGGCGCGAGCGGCGCTAACGCTCGGAGGCGGGGGCGGAGCCTCCCACATCCGGGTACCAGCCACGCCGAGCACCGCCCTCGAGAGGGGGCGGGGCGCACGGTGACGCCAGCCAGCGAGGCGGGGGAGGGAAGAGAGAGGAGGGGAGGACAAAATGGCGGCGGGGCGGGCGGGGTGCGAGGAAGCGGTGGTCGTTGTGCTGGGCTCTGTAAGAGCGGAGGAAGTGGTGTGGTGGTTCCTTTTAGAGGGTCTTGCATGTTGAGTGTTGCCACAAGATAGGTCTGTGTTTACTGCTGAGGTCTCTGTCCAGGGAGAGGTTCCCTCAGGTGCTCCAGAGCTGCTGTTTGGCTGTGTTCCTCCACGCACACCCTGCTTAGGTTGTTGGAGCCCGTGGTGCTCGAGCTTCCCTCTTTGTTCTTGTGTGGATTCTGCTGTCTGTGGAAGAAAATAACCCATGCAGAATGTTCAGCACAGGTGGCCAGTGGAAGCACAGCTGTGAGTGGTGCCTCCTTTCTTCATCTGGCTGTTTTCTCAGGGTTTTAATGTTACGTTATAAAAGGCTATCTAGGTTGGAAGATGCTCAGTACTTCACAGATTTTGGGGTATCGTGTTTCTAGAGTGTTAATAATGAGTTACATAAAACTAAAAGAAATGTGCTGTGATGAAAGTGTTTATGTGTACGTTTGTGGTTTGATGCTGGTAGCTAATGCTTTGTGCCCTGGGTATTTTGCAAAGTAAAAGGACTGATAGAGTTGAACGCAAATGAAGATGAAAGATGCAGTCTCAGTAACCCCTTTGAGGCAAGATGTAGGGCAATGCAACCGCTTGCATAAGTAAGGCTGCCCCTCAGGGAGTGATCTCTCTATATTGTAAGGCTTTAAGTAGGCCAGATGACACCTTCAAAAACCTCTGTGAAGGGCAGAGCAAAATACTGAGTAAAAATTGGTTGATTTTATGTTCTTTTTAGCTGTTTTTGCTCTTCTTTCTGTGCTCGTTCTGCTGAATGTGTTTATTTTGGAGCACCACGACACAGCACATAACACCGTGACAAATGGTGATGTGAAAATAATAATTGCATATAAAATATTGTTGTGTTAGTACTGCGAAAGAGAAGATTCAGTATCATGTTGATGTTTTTTTTCGGGCATTTGACCCTTGGCTCACAATAGCTACGTATTTTGCCAGAGAAATGCCTGTCAATTCTTCCAAGTTCAAGGTGAATGACAACCTAATTTGTAGGCAAAGGGAGGGCTGAAGTACTGATTTAAAACCAGGTTAATTTTTTTTCAGGACCATAGCTGAGCATGAGCTTTCCAGTTTAAAATCGTAATTTTCCTTCCCTTCAGCTCCTTCTGGAAAAGGAGCTGCTGCATCATTGTTGCCCTGTTTGTGGGAGTCTGAGCTGGTCAAGGGCTAACACAAGTTACCTTCAGATTTCCTGGAGAAACCTGGAATCTTGACATCAACTGCTGATGTGCAAATGCTAAGAGAAAAGGGGCATCTCCTGTATGGAAGCCTGATACGGAACGTAGATAATAAAGGGTGACTGTGAAGTTCAAGAACAGATCAGAATTTCTCATTTAACAGATTGAAGCAAAGTGCAGCAATAAATGTGCAGTTCTTAGAAACTGTTAGTGACTGACGAGGCTTCTGTTCAGAAGCTGATATCCAGCATGCCTTCACACCTGCAGAAAGGAGTGAGCTTGACCAGGAAGAACGAAGAGTGGACTGAGGAGATTGCGCAGAAAAAAATCTAGCAATAAAATAAGTAAATCGAGAACATGGTGATGAGTGAAACGAAGCAGTGGAGAACAGAAGGTAATTTGCACCAGCGAAAAGTAAACCAAACACTGAGGCATGACTGTAAGCTTTAAGTTAACAGCAAGTCAGCAAAAAAGGCCTTGCTGTAAGAATCTGGGCCTGGCCACAGTGGGAGGTTGTACATGGTGAAATGGCCTGATACAGGGAAGGGATCTCCTGCCTTTTCTTATTAACAGGTAGAGGTGGCTAGGACAACTTTTCTTTTTTGGGGAACAAAAAAAAAAAACCCCAAAAAAACAATTCTAGTTGCTAGGATGTCTAGAAATAAAACATTCCTAAATTTCACTGAAAGCTAGTATTAAAACCGACTGGACCTCAAGCCAAAAAAATAAAAACTAAGAATGAACAACTTAAAATCTCCAAAAGACAGATAAATTCTGATATAAACAAATCTTGCTGCTTACATCTGTGTCGCTGCAGGCTTATCTAGCTGATGCAAATTTGGAGTAAAATCAGCTAAATGAAGTTGGCTAAATGAATATGGCTAGAATTTCTATTGCATAATGTAATGGGACTAAAATAAACAGAAATGAAGAATATAATAGCATAATTGTTACGTTTTTAAGTTGCAAGTACAGACAGCCAAGAACTTAGAAAAAAATACAAATTTTGTCTTTTAATGCAGATATGTCACTGTTAGTAGTTTTGAAGCTCTAGATGCAGTACAAATATGAGCTAATTAGTTTTTAATTCCTTTCTGCTGTGCATATTTGTCAAAGGAGCTTTTCTTTTATATCTGACTTCTAAAAGGTGTTAAAAATGTAAGATGGCATTTGTTAGTGAGTAGATTAGAGTCTGCTGAAAACCATGACTTGCATTTAACAATTTGTATTATTTTCTGGCTAGCAATTTTGGAAATACTGATACTTGAATATGTTTTTAGACTAAGTTTCAGACAACTCTGTATTTTGTCAGTTTCTGGGTTTGGTAAAGTTTCTCTGCAGCATAATTACAGCCATTCAAACTAGGATAAATATTTGTACCCATATAATTGGAAGCTGTTTTAGCTACAGAGAAATAAACATATGTAAACTCTGTACCTGTTTGGGTTCTTCAGTGTTATTAACAATAATGATGTGATTTGCATAGGGCTTGACCTAATGTTTGGAAAACAATTTCCATGCTCCTGCTTATGTGTCTGGACTCTAGCTGCAGGTCTTAGAATGCCTGTTTTAAAGTGCTATTTGTGATACCTTATCTGTCACTAAATTTTTAGTTCTTTATTTTTAATACAGCATGAATCTGTGATCCCCTGAGTGTATCCTTCTTTGTCTTGCCTTGTGCTGGTCCTTATGTAAACATCCCTTACTCAAAAACATAGCTGGATGCAATTTGTATGGAGCATTCATCTCTCTGTTAACCTCAGGGTGAGGGCTGCCACCTAATCAAATAATCTTCCACCCTGACCCTTAACAGGCTGTAAGCAGCTTTTCCCAGGAAAGCAGGTAAAGTCTTGGGACAGTGCAGTAAAGCTTGAAAATACATGGTTTTTAAGCATATGTATGTGGGTTCCAGTAGGTGTGTCCTAAAAATAAACTCTTCTTTAATGCTCTAGAAGGAAAAAAGGAAAGCCACCTTTTTTTGGCCTGGAGGTAAAGTGCTTTCAGCTGCAGTGGGCAGGGAAGCTGTACTTTGTGAGCAAAGGAGGAAGCCTTTTTAGATGGAAATGAAAACCATCCATTCTCAGCATGTTTGAACTCTAATGATGTAAAATGAACTCTAATGTCTGTAAAACTGATGCACTATATTTATTCGTTTCATTTCGTTTGTAACAACAGGTAGAATAATAAGCAAATCTTAAGATACACAATACTGACTAGAGCTGCCAAGTGACTGGAAAGATAAAGTGCCTCTTATTTTATCTCTCTTACACCTACATCTGTCGTTTCAGTTGAGAGAAATGAAAGGGAGTCTGCCCTTATTTTCTTGCGTATTTGTGACAGCATGTATGACTTGCCAGCATTTGGGAGGGAAGGAGATGGTACTTCTCAGACCCAGTAATGCTCAGCTGAACAAAAGAAAGGTCAAATGCAAGAGCTAGAGGCACAGGGGAACATTGCTCTCTTTAACTAGAAAATGAAGAACAGGACTGTCCTTAAGACCAGAAGAAAGGTGCAGGCCACAGAAGTCTTGTGAAGCTGTAGGTTAATAGGGTGATCTTTGGCTACCCATTGGTTTATTTTGCATCACTGCAGAATGCTGGGATTTTAAATTGCTAGAGCAAGTGCAACTGTATAGTTGTCTCTAGCATATGTGCATTTAATGAAGCTGTGGTTGTAAATGCTTCTGGATCTGTAGATCCTGCTGCCCAAGGTGGTGTGAATTAAATGACCTGACAGTAGGGTTATTTCTTCAGTTACCCTTTTCAACTCTTTGTGGTAATTAACAGCCCACAAGGACTGGAAGCCACAGATTGAAAATCCCTGCATGGCACTATTTTTTTCCCCTTAACTGAGTTATAAAGAGTGGTCTTGTGATTTCCTGGACTTACTACCAGTTCTGGCTAGAATAAACCAGTAAAAATAAACTGGATAAACGGGGTAAAAATGCTTTCTATATATTTGACCCTGTGCCTGTAATCATATCACTGTATCGACTAGTGCTGCGCAGAACAAATATATGGAAATAATTTGCAAGAAAGATTGACACTAAAAGGTTACATTTTTCTTGAGACTGTGCTGTTTGCATAATAATTTCATATAGTGATCTTATTTGCCTAGCAGCTGATAAGATTTCTTGATGGCATCCAGCTGTAGCTAGGGTTGGTATAATTGGCAGCATCTTTCTGAAGACATTTGTTCTGGGGAACTCTGATAAGAGCTGTGGGCTGACTGCTCAAAGACCTTGCAACAGCTGGAGGTAAGTGCTGTGAGCACCAGTGCAGTGTTTGATTTTTTCACTGATGTGCTTGTCTACCACTATTGTAAAGGCTTATTGCTTTTGTTTAACTTGCTAGAGATATGCATATATCTGACTTGTGAAATTTTTATCTTTTGTAGTAGCTGATTCTGCAGAAGAGGTTGGCCTGCCCAGGATATTAATGAGCTATTAATGTATGTAACTTCAATCTGTGGAAACAATCACTTGAGTAATTTTAAGATGGTACCTGTTTATCATTGGTCATGTGTTGGCTGACTGGTTCAGGTTTTGGACCAGTACAAATTCTGAAGGTGATGACTCGGGCAGCAAGCTAGACCAGTAAGTTTTTTACTGTGAGGGTGGTGAGACACTGGCATAGGTTGCCCAGAGAAGCTGTGGCTGCCCCATCTC